ATTCCTGTTCAGAGTATTACGATTCAGAAAATAAATTTTTAACTCTGAGGTGATCTGTGGGAAACTGTTGCATGCTCTCTTTGGTCTTCTGTAAAACAGAATTAACAGAAGATCTTTTGCTGTGGGAATTTTGCTTTAATTACTGCAATTTCAGCTACTGACTATAGTGGACCTTGTTGTTTACAGAGATTAGTTAAAGGATTTAGTCTTACAAGATCCCTGCATATTCAGCACAATTATTAATATGAATGAGGAATAACATATTTGTGGCTTGCTAATTGCTTGTCTATCATGTGCTGTCTACTGCCAATTGAAGGAACTTCTGACTTTGGGGAGAGGGAGTGAGTGTTATTCACCTCATAAAACACTTAACTAGCTGTTGCTAGTATGTCAATACCTTCTAATGGTTCTACAATAGCAGTATTAGCAGTTCTGTGTATGCCTTGAAAAATCAGCTATGCTTGATCTTTATGTTAGAATGTGCATAGCAGTAGCTATCCAACAGTTTTTTTCCTAGCAAGTCACAGACTGTCATGTTGCATTCATCTTGCTGCTTATGCTGCTGTTAGTAGGAGCTGAAGAAGGGTTATAGTCATGGCTGTGAATACTCAGCTGTTTGCAGAGTGAAGGGCCAAGAGCTCAGAAACAAAGTCAACCACAGTGAGGTAGTCACATGAGACTTGATTGTGCAAATACTCAAATAAACTTTGTGACAGCAAGGGTGTTTGAAAAATGCCAGTCCTGTGAAATAGAATGGATTATCTTCTTGGCTAATGTCCTATAAACCTACTGAAGTCTAAGGCTTTCAGAATGTGGTTCCATGCCTTCTCTCTCTTACCTTATGATGCACACGTCTGAACAATTATACAAGTCTTATAAAAAACAGGAGTTATGCAGATAATTCAAAGATTTATGGTAAACCACAGAATAGATTTCCCAAAAGTGCTGGTCACTGCCTGCCAAAAGTTGTCAGGGTCTTAATTGCTTTATGAGACACTATTCTATTCATTACTGGCTGTAATTTTATGTTAAATTCTAAAATCATTAGCAAGAAAGTAATCCAAAGGCTGATGGACTGGAGGAGCTGTTGCTTGCTTTCCATCTGCCCCAAGGGCTGCATAGTAAAGCCTTGTGGGTTCATGGTAGACATAGATTCTTATGTCATATTGATTAATATTTTATTTCCTAAAGCCACATGCCACTTTTGTTGCATTTCTATCAAGTGAAAGAGGGTGTTTGCTCTCACTTGTTTTGAGTAGACTAAGTGAATCCATGCACTTTGGGACACAAATTACAGTTTTAATAACATCCTTTAAGGTTAGATTTATGCTTAATAATATTTCTTAGAATCCATTTAAAACTAGAAAAACAAACTAATTGGAAATTCAGTTCAAACAGACTTGATAGAACAGGGAATTAAGGGAACAAGAAGTATGTGTTTGCTTTGTGTGTTTCACAGAGTACTTCCCAGCTTTCACGGCTGCTTTTTACTGTGTGAGTGTAACTTCAGATCACTGTATCCAGCCAGGAAAGACTCCTTTAGCCCTATATGTGCTAGTCAGTTAAGCAACTGGGTCTCTTCTCTGACCTGTGGGACAAGTGTCACAGCACAGCTTGAAATTCTGCTGCCGTCCCCAGCCAAAAACCGAAAGGTTGTCTCAGTTGCAGAGCCAGCTGGAGACTCTGTGTATCCCCATGCTGTGACTAGGCATAGCCTGGGAGAGCAGGAGTTCTCAGAGTCCGAAGCTGTGCTGTGGAGCATGCTAGCAAACATCACATGCCAGTGCTAGAGCTCAGGCTCTGTTTAGTCTGCTGCTCTGGCAGGACCATGTGCTGCTTTTGCAGGGCTGCTTGTGGGGAGCAGGGCAGGGCAGGGAGTAGTGCACTGCACTGCAGCAACAGTAGACATTGCTGAGAAGGCTCCCTGAAGCTCTGAGAAGTTGCTATAATTTAGCTAAGACCTTCACATGGAAGTATGTGAAGGTTTCATCAAAGGTATAGTGCTTTCTGATCAAAAGGAACATGCTGCACTTGTAACACCGAAAACGGAGTTAAACCCTACTCTGCCTTTGGTGAAGCTTTGTTGCGTAGCACAGGGGAGGAATACTCTTCAGTACGTTGCGGTCCATTGCTTAGTACATATCGATCCAGGTTTTCTGTTGCTGTGGTTCAAAAGGTGGGTGAAACTATGTGCTATCCATCATAGGCAGTTCATTACTGATACAGCGTTCTCTAGGTCATGATGTGGCAGATTCCAAATAAGGTTTGTATGTGAGAGCTGTCATACCAGGTCATTGCCTCCCATAGCAGAATTGCATTGTTTGTTTGTTGGTTTTTTTTGTGGGTCACTTTTAATTTTAAGTTGTATCATTAATATCGCAATGTGCAAGTTGCTTGTTCCTCTAGGCACTAGGAGTGCTTATAGAGAAGGCAGGCCTTGGATACCATTATCTGTTTTAGCAAAGGATGACTGGCAGTATGACATTATCTAGGGCTGAAAACTATGACTAATTAATTTGGTTACAATCACTACTGGCTCTGTTTCTGCTCTTTTTTCCAATATATTTGACAAATCATCAGGAGTGTCCAGAAATGAAGAATCCAGGCAGACTGCACT